ATACTGCAAAATGGTCCTGCTCTACTTCTAACCTCAAGAAAAACCAATTACTTAGAGAGAGGGATATGGTAAAGGAAGGAAAGCTAATGTATATTGGAGGGACTGCCTCCCTGAGGAGAAAGAGGATTTATAGGAATTGAGGGGATGGGGTGGAGATCTGAAGACTTTCAGGAACTTGTTTATTATTCTGCTTAATTCAAGTTATGCTGATCCCTGGAGGAACTTCTTTATTCCTAGAATAGCCCTTGGATGGGTGTTAGCTACTGATAACCCTCAAGGAAAGTACAGACCAAGGTTAGCAGTCATGACTTCTCTGCTTGCAAGACGGAGTCACTTTAGTCAGTTGTAGCCTCACCTGCGGTATGGTTGAAAAGAATGGCTCCTGCTGTATATTGCATAGTTTCTGACCCTGCATTGTACCCGGTCAACTTCTCTAATAAACACTATAATTGTGAATACTGTCTGTGAGTTCTGTATGGCATGGCAATGGATTATCAAACCCAGCAGAAGAGTAGAGTGCCATGGGAGGGCCGATTGGTGTCAGGATACGATAAAGAAGATTGGAGGATGGAGGCATGTTTGACCTCTGCTTTATAGGAATCAGCCTTGAGTTGATGATTCTCTTCCTTCCTGCTTGTGAAGTCAGAGGAGGTCAGATACTACCTCCCTGCCATTTTAGCAGACAGACATATAAATCAATGAAATGGAATTGAAATCCAGAAAGAAACCCATGTGTCTATAGTAAGCTGCTTTTTGACAAGGTTGTCAAAACCATTTAATGTGGTAACAAAGAACCACAAACTTGGCTGTTTTCTTTAAAACAACAGAAATTCATTTTCTCACAGTTCAGGAGAGATTAGAAGTCTGAAACCAAAGTGTTAGCAGCTCCCTGCTCTCTCTGTAGATTCTAGGGGAAGAGCCTTTCTTTGTCTCTTCTATATTCTGGTGATCATGGGTAGTCCAGGGCTTGTAAGTGTTATCAGTCCAGTCTGTGCCTCCATTGCTTTTCCCTGTGTGTCTTTCTCCTCTGTGCTTCTTATAAGGACACCAGTCATACTAATTAGGGGCCACCCTACTCCAATTTGACTTCATGGTAACTAAATATGTCTGCAAGCCACTATATCCAAATAAGGTCACATTCATAGGTATCAAAAGATTTTTGGAGGATGCCAATCAACTTGTTTTATTTTAAATGATTCGTTCTGGCATCTTTCTCATTTTTGCCTTTGCTTCTCTCATCTCAGCATTGTATATTCAAAGGGATATACCCATACTCTGGGTTCTAATGCAAGAACCCAGATCCAAGAGGAATGAATAAGGGAGAAGGCCAGTAGGCAGAGAGCTGTTTGGGGAAGTATGAATTCAGGAGGCAGAAAGAGACTAAAGAGAACTTAAAGTTGTTACATGACATATACAACTTAGAACGAGGTTGTTTCTCACTGATATGGGTTCCAAAACATCTCAGTGGATAGTTGGAGACTCAAAATTATTTTCATATCTCTCATAATTATTAAATCTCTGTTGAATTCTTGGGGAAAATTCCTGGGTATCTAGTCTGTTTATTCCTCGATGACTATGAATATTTCACCTTTAAATATAACCACACTCCAACTTAAATATCTTTGTCTGACCAACATAGCCCATCATAGATTACCATTACTTAAGATGTCACTGTTGCTGTTGTTGGGTGCTGTTGAGTCAGTTCTGACTCAGTGAGACCTTATGCACAACGGAAGGAAATATAGCCCTGTCCTTTGCCATTCGCACAATTGTCACGCTGGAGCCCATTGCTGCCACCATGGTGTCAATCCATTTCATTGGAGATCTTCCTCTTTTTCACTGATCCTCTACTTTACCAAGCATAATGTCCACCTTCAGGGACTTGTCCCTCCTGGTAATATGTATGAATTATGAGAGACAAAGTCTCGCCATACTGGCTTCTAAGGAGCATTGTGGCTGTACTTCTCCCAACACAGATTTGTTTATTCTTCTGGCACTCCATGGTACTTTCCATATTCTTCTCCAACACCATAACTCAAATGCATCAAGTTCTCCTACTGTCTTCCTTAATCATTGTCCAACTTTCACATGTATATGAGTCAATTGAAGATACAATGGCTTGGGTCAGGCACACCTTAGTCCTCAGACTGATATCTTTGCTCTTGAACACTTTAAAAAGGTCTTATGCAGCAAGCATCATTTGGTTTCTTGGCTGCTGCTTCCATGAGTGTTGGTAGGTGATCCAAGAAAAATGGAGTTTTTGACAATTTCAATCTTTTCTCCATTTATCATGATGTCATTTATTGATACAATTATGAGGATTATTGTTTTCTTTACACTGAGTTGCAATCCATGCTGAAGGCTGTGGTCTTTGCTCTTAATCAGTCAGTATTTTAAGACCTCATCACTTCCAGAAAACAAGATTGTATCATCACAGGTTGTTAATGAGTCTTCCTCTAATCCTGATGCCATGTTCTTCTTCATATAATCCAGCTGCTCAGATTATTTGCTCAATAAATAGATTGAATAAGTATGGTGAAAGAATACAGCCCTGCATATATCTTTCCTGATTTAAAATCATTCAGTATCCCCTTGTTCTGTTTGAATGGCTGACTCTTGGTCTACATACAGGTTCCTCATGAACACAATTAAATGTTCTGGAATACCTATTCTTCACATTGCTATCCACTGTGTCATGCTCCACACAGTCAAAAGTCTTTACATAATCAATAAAGCACAAGTAAACAGCTTTCTGCTACTCTCTGCTTTAATCCAAGATCCATCTGATGTCAACAATGATATCCCTAGTTCCATACCCTCTTCTGAATCTAACTTGAGTTTCTGGCAGTTCCCTGTTGAGGTACTATTGCAGCCATTTTAAAAGTATCTTCAGAAAAAATTTTACTTGCATGTGATATTAATGGTATTATTCTATGATTTTCACATTCCATTGGGTCACATCTGTTTGGAATGGGCACAGATACAGGTCTCTTCCAATCAGTTGGTCAGGTGTTGTTGTTAGGTGCCATCGAGTCAGTACTGATTCATAGCGACCCTATGCACAACTGAATGAAATACTGCCCGATCCTGAGCCAACCTCACAATTGTCATGCTTGAACCCATTGATGCTGCCACTTTGCCAATCCATCTTGCTGGGGGTCTTCCTCTTTTTCTCTGACCCGCCACCTTACCAAACATGATAGTCTTCTCCAGCAACTGGTCCCTCCTAAGAATATGTCCCAAGTATGAGAGACGAAGTTTGGTTATCCTGGCCTCCAAGGAGCACTCTGGCTGTACTTCTTCCAACACAGACCTGTTGGTTCTTTTGGCAGCCCATGGCACTTCCAATATTCTCCTCCAACACCATAACTTAAAAGCACCAATTCTTCTACAGTCTTCCTTATTCACTGTCCATCTTTCACATGCCTATGAGGTTATTGAAAATGCCATGGCTTGGGTCAGGTGCACCTAGGTCCTCAAGCTGACATATTTGCTCTTCAACATTTTAGAAAGGTCTTGTGCAGCATATTTGCCTAATGTAATATGTCGTTTTGCATTTTCTTAACTGCTGCTTCCATGAGTGTTAATAGTTGATCCAAGAAGAATGAAGTCCTTGATAATTCAATCTTTTCTCCATTGATAAGAATGTTGAGTTTGTTGAAAGATTTCAATTTGTATTCCCTCAATTCCTGGAGCCTTGTTTTTTAACTGATGCCTTCAGTGCGCTTGGACTTCTTCCTTCAGTACCATTGGTTCTTGATCATATGTGGCTGTTGGGTTTAAAACCATGATGATGGGTGACCCTGCTGGTATTTAAGATACTGGTGGCATAGCTTCTAGCATTATAGCAACATGCAAGCTACCAAAGTATGACAGACTGCCAGACAACTGGTAGATTACTTAAGATACTCACCTGAAAATGTATTGGTATTAATAATTTAAGAAAAGGCCTACATCTTGCAGACTGTATGTCAGGGAGATTCTCTGCCTTTAACATCAAATAATCTCATACAACCCCTTCCCATGTCTTAGAACACTGTTCTGTTCCAGCCAAGATTATTTATGATTTCAGTCCAAACTTGGTTCCAATTAAATAGGAATATTTAACAGTCTCTGCAGATAGGTCCAAGAATCTTCATTGAGTGAAGACCTCTCCCATCTATGTCTATGGGCGTGTTGTTATTTATGAGTGGACTTCAAAAATTTGTGGAAACATGGAATCAAAAGAGAATGAAATGTTTCCATGAGCTTTTTGAAGTCCCCTCATATTAAGAAAAACCTTTAATACAAGTAGGATTTGCTCATCCTTTTTAACTGAGGTGACCTAAGTACTTCCTCAAGCATGACAAATGCTAAGTGACGCTCACTGCCATGTAGTCGATTCTGACTTATAGCGACATTATAGAACAGAGTAGAATTGTTCCTTTAGGTTTCCCGAACCATAAATCTTTACTGAAACAGACCACCTCATCTTTCTCCCGCAGAGTAGCTGGTGAATTTATAGTTAGCAACCCAACATTTAACCCATTGCCCCACCAGAGCTCTCAAAGTTCGTATACATGGGTTAAACTTTACATGAAGTCTGGTAAAAAGAAAAATAGATTCATGAAGGAACACTAAATTTATTTAAAATCTATTGGCTGATTTCCTTAGAACATATAAAAATATCTATTTTGTAGGTCTGATTGCATAAAACTTAATGAAAAAAATTCATGTAAAAAACAAATGATCAGAACAACTCCCACAAATAGTTTTCCTTTATTTCTCAACTTCTTTTTTCTGTATTTCCTTGTTTCTGAAGATAATATATGTATTTTAATAATAAACTCTAGCCCACTACATAAAGTATTCTGAGTTGCATCTCTTAGCTTCCCTACTGTATATTCAAAAGGCTCAGTGCCATTAACCTATTTGAATGAAGTCAGATCTCTATCGCATCTTTAGGGAGAGTGGCTTACCAGTTTCTGAACTTCCTGACCAAAGGAAGACAATGAATGTATATGCACATAATAGTGCAAGAAAAGCCTCAAGATAGGAGTGAGCACTTCTTGTCCTAAGGTTCTAAAGAAGGTGGTGGGATGTAATAAAGTGAGAAAACAGGCACTAAACTGATAAGGATGGCTTTGGAAGAAGTAGACAGCTTCTAATGAAAGAAGAGTGAAATCATACCAATTTCAGTACTGAAATAGGGAAAGATTTTAAAAATTAAAAAAAAACGAAACTAACCAGCCTGGAAGTCTTTTAAAGAATAAGAATTGGTTCCTGTGAGATATGGGAGAAATGCAAGGAATCACAGAGAAGATATGAGATTTAAGGGGGAAAAGTAGGGAATTGGAAAGTACAGTTTACTCTGGATGAGTTTTGCCTGAATGTGTCTTGGGTTTCAGGTTACTATCTGATCATTTGTTCTGAGGGAATTTCTGTGGCTTCTTCTTGATTTCCCAATTAACCATTTTAAATTACTGTTTGCTCAGGGGTTGGTCTCCACGCTATTCTAAGTATCTTAGGGAACTATTTTCCATGGCCCCCAGTCAGTAGGTCATTAGAATGCCGCACATTTGTCTTGCTGATCTTACAGAGAAAGAAGTCTGGTGGTATCAGGTGAAGGTCTGTTCTACTGCTGTGGTTTCCCTCACGCTCCTCGGTGCCTGCTTCATTGTCATCTGTTTGGGTAAGTTCTTGCTTGAAATGAGACTGACTTTGGTTCCCTTTCTCAATCACATTTTCTGAAGATGTCCAAAAAACATAGTTCCTTCTTTCATGTCATAAAATGGTAACCTTTACTGGGAATACCATCTTTTTTATGATATTAGTTATTATTATTTCTTATTTTTGATAACTGGCTATTCTTTGCCTGGTCCTACCTAGTTGCGTTTTCTCAACTGTAATCATGATCTCATCCCTGTGTGTGTGCTGGTTGTAGTTACCATGTAAGATACTGTTTCTCACTACCAGTAATGTTGATCTGTTTGATTTAAAAAACCCTCAATTGGGAACGGGTCCTGGTGTGGCAATTTATGATAAGCATTGGACTGCTAATCACAGAGTCAGCAGTTTAAACCCAACATGCTTGGAAACCCTATACAAGGTCACTATGAGATGGAGCCAACTTCATGACACACAAAAATAACAGTAACAAGCTAACCACAAGGTCAGTGTTTCAAACCTACCGCAGGTCCTCAGAAACGCAATACAAGGCCACAATGAGTCAGAACCAATTCGATGGCACTTAACAACAACAATTGGGAATGAGATTGTGAGGATGGTACATTAAATTTCCTTCTCTATATTTTTCAATTTACATGCTACTAGAGAAAGACTTTGCTGTTAAGTGTCTTGTTGAATCATAGCCACCTTGTAGGGTTTTCAAGTTCTGACTCATAGCTACCTTGTAGGGTTTTCAAGAAGCAGCTGGTGAATTTGAATCAACACCGACCTTGCAGTTCAAACCAACCAGTGCTTATCCTACAGTGTCACACCAGGACTCCAGAGACAGACTACTAGCATGTGAATTGTGCATTAAAAACAAAAACATATTACTAATTGAGAGTCACTCTTTAAAACATTTTTTTTGGTTTATTTTAAGTGAAAGTTTACACAGCTAATTAGCTTCCCATGTCATCAGTGTTATTGTTTCATGATGTGGTGGTGGTAGTGAGCAGTGAAATCGGTTTCAACTCACAGAGACCCTGCATAGGATTTCTGAGGCTGTAAATCTTTACAGGAGCAGAAAGCCTCATCTTTCTCCCGCCGAATAGCTGGTAGTTTCGAACGGCTGACCTTGAGGTTAGCAGCCCAACTCGTAACAACTATGCTATCAGAGCTCCTTAAGTTTTGTTTTTTTAATGTTTTTTTTTTTTGAATTACATGATAGTTTACATGGGAGAACATTAGCTTTACATTCATCCTATCGAATATCATTTCATTGCCATGGTTGCAATCCCCTCCATGCATCATCAACCAACCAAAGGGTATACCCTGCAAGCCTGTCCCCCAGTTGTGAGCACCCAGCCCCTCTCCCACTCTGGGTCTAGAGTTCCCAGCCACTCCATCTCTCCACATCATCGACTCTGCCTACATCTCTGTCATCACTGTTTTTCTGGGTAGGGTCCCGCACTCCGGTCTTCTCCCTTGATGGTCCCAGAGACCTCCACTGGTGGACTGCAAAGTCAACCACTCCCCTCGTTTTGCTACAAAATGTCTACCTTTACATTTCCAACCCTCACCATCAGTCCTGATAATATTTATTCACTATTGTACCACATGAGTGCTAGCCACATCTCTTTTCATCAGTCCCACCCAGACAAATTGGATACTACTCAGTGGAGATTTTCCCTTCCTCTGTGCCCTCTGGATCTAGACTCCCTCTTGAAAGATTGTAAGCCAGTCACTTCTTGCCTTTGTAGCCCCCCATTTTGGGAAGCCAATGTCCAAGTTGCCCATCCCTCCCTGTCTACCCTGTGTATTAAGGGGGTAGGAATGACCCTTACTATAAAGATTTGTTCCTTCTTTTGAGCTACTGCATCCATAGATGTAGGTCATCTCCTTAAGTTTTTAGTGGTTACAATTTTCCCAATGTGTTATCATTCTCACTATTTCTATGGATCTAAATTCCCCGCCTCTCCTTGCCTTCAGAATCTTTGTGTTACTGACAGCTTGGTCTCATATAGTTGATTGTTTCAGGTGCACATTACTCACAGCTGATGCTTTTTTATAAGCCAATTTGTCTTAAAGGTGATCTCCAGGAGTGCCTTCAGCTCCAAGTTCAAAATGTATCTTAAGAGTATAGTCTCTGGGGTTCCTCTATTCTCTTAGTCCAATAGGTCTAGTCTTTGTCAGGAATTTTGTTTTACATTTTTCTCCCACTCTCTTTGAGACTTTCTCTTATGTCCCTGATCAGAGCAGTTTGTAACAGTAACTGTCAACTTGTTCTTCTGGTGAATTATTCTTACCAGTTATTTCCTCATCATCCTCACCACTCATTCAATTAATCACAGAGTCCAACTGTGGCACTATGGGCTAACGCATCAGACAGTGAAGTCGCTTAAACTGCAAGGTAGGTGGTTCAAGCTCAACAGCTACTCCTTGGAAACCCTATACAGGGTCGTTATGGGTGGGTACCGACTCATCGGTACTTAACAACAACAGTAAATAGCATTCTTCTCCCTCTATGGTTCAGAATTAATATTTACAGGATTCAGATCAGAATAAAAGGATCAATTTTATTCATGGTAAAACTGAATTGTGAAATGTGGTGCTCCCAAGTCTAAGCCTGCCCTCAACGAGGGACAGTTTGGTCAGCCATGTCCATCCAGGACCAACAACAGTCCCCACAGCATCCTTAGAGGACCACAGAGGCAAGCTGCACCTGAGAGGCATATGGGCTCCATGTTGCACAATTTCTCCTATTTCACAAACAAAATAACTCATTCTCCATTTACCTGGAATTAACCAAACTGCAAAGTTTAGAGGGCACAGTTGACTTCAAAAGACCACCCTTCTGAAACCAAATACAAGTTCAAGGAGTTTAGTAAATCACCTTCAGGCTTGTTAATTCACTGTAAGGACCAGTGTCAGTTTACCCAACAAGCAAGTAAGCACAGGCTCACTTGTACTTCCTCACTAGTTTGTAGTGAACACTTTCACATGAGTCTTACTACATGTTTGAACATGTAAAACTTTTCATTACAGATTAGTAAGTAAGCGCAGTTAGACCTGTGCTTACTGGGTAATTTGACACTGGTAAAGACACACAAGTGTGGTGCTGTAGGACAAGTACTGGACTGCTAGCCAAAAGGTTGGCGGTTCAAACCCACCAGCCCATCCTTGGGAACCTTGTGAGTTGGAACCAACTTGAAGGCACTTAATAACAACAACAAAGACTCATAGAACTCACTGAAAGATAGAAGCATTTTTCAAACCAAAAACCAAATCCACTGCCATTAAGTCAATTTCAAACTCATAGCAATCCCACACAGGGTTTCTAAGCCTATAAATCTTTAAGGAAACAACTACATCTTTCTTTCTTCCTCAGAGTGACTGGTGGGTTTGAACTGCTGACCGTGTGGCTAACAGACCAATGCCTAATCCACAGTGTCATCATTATAACAACAGTTGCAATTTATTACAAGAAAAAGATTCCAATTAAAATTAGCCAAAGGAAGAGAGCCACCAAGGGTTGTCTAGGGAGTTCCAAATGCTAAGGTTCCATTGTACTCTTTCATGTCATATAACCCGTTAACCTTCCAGGATCAATGTGTGAAGATGCACATTAAGGATACATATGGGGGTCCTGTCACCAAGGAAGCGTGGCCACCATGGTCAGAGCTTGTACTGGGGTGCCATTTTATATGCAGGAGTCCCTGGTTGTGCAAATAGTTAAACACTGAACTACTAACTAAAAGGTTGCTTGTTCAAATCCACTCAGAGGAATCTTGAAAAAAAATCAAACGTGGCAATCTGCTTTTGAAAGGGTACAGGTTTGAAATTCTAGAGCCGAAATTTCTTCTGCTCTGCAACACATGGTTTTAGCATAAGTTAGAATTGGTTGGCTTTACCTTTTTTTTTTTTTTTTTAGTTCACAGGCATGAATCATTGATAGATTGCCCAATGGTTGATCTCAGCATCTAGGTCAGCTGATATTTATCACATAGTTTATCTTTCTGGCTGACCACAGCCCCTACCCTGTGACTATCAACTGTGACCTGCCCTACCTTAAGATAAATTGTGGTCAACCTCCAACCTAAACAAAGAGATTACCTCTCAGAAACTTCTCAGAAGAAGGATAAAGACCAGATCTTTGGGAAAATGCAGAATTCTTTACCAGAATAGGAGGAGAAGAAACAACAAAATTTTCCTCAATACTACCACAAGAGATTGGAATTTACTGGGGTTTTTTTCCCCCTTTTTGACCTAGGGTAAGAATATGGGAAGAAAAGACTGATTTGTTCTTTATTCTTACGAAACTTTAGTTCCTTTTTCATATTTGCCTTAAAAGTGGTACAATGTAAGTTCATTAGTAAAGTCAGTTCTTATTGCCAAGCCAATCTGTCAAGTCAGACTTTAGTGGGCCAGAAAAACTTCTAAATTTTTTATTTACATGGACCCTATCAGTATGCATTTTGGGAAATTTTAATAAAAACAAAAAACCAGAGAAATAAATTCTAAATGCATCTTCCAAGACACTTTTAGAAAAGTCAAGTTTAGATGATGGTGTTGTTAAGTGCTGTCAAGTCAGTTCTGACCCATAGTGACCCTGGGTTTCTGAGGAACAGCTGGTGAGCCTGAGCCACTGACCTTGCAGTTGAAACAGCTTTGTAGTCTGGCACATTAACCCACAGCACCACATCAGGACTCCTTGGATGATGGTAGTTCGAATATATTTATTTTACCCATTTTTGTAAACCAATAGAAAATTTCCCATTCACTTATCTGTAATCATGTATAGCTGTAATTATGTTTTATAATAAGAACATAAGAAATAAGATAGAAGGCATTGTATCACTTTAGAAAATGTATTTTTATTCATATAATTTTTTTTTCCACAAATATAGTTTACTTGGATTTAAGGAAAAACTAAATGGCAACATAAAAAATTTTTAAATCATCCCATTTATTTTGGTAAACATTGTGATCAAAGTTTTCTCTTTTTAATGAAAAAAGAAAGGTATATATTTCTAAATGCTAATTGGTCCAGCAAGTAGCATATAATTTTTTTTGTTTTTGGAGGTGGAAAAATAATAAACATTAGAAAAAGTGAAATAAAAATAATATTGCATATAGTATAAAAATTTCATGATCTGATTGATAAAATAGTTTATAATTAATTTGTTGAATGATACATGATAAATTTAAAAGGAATTATATAATATTTGTAACTGCATGCTTTATGCAATGCAAGTTGAAGAATTGGAAAGTCTCATGAATTACCCAAGTCATTTAAAAGTTACAGTATCTTTAAGCTGTACTGTTTCAGTTATTCAAACATAATTTTCCTTTCCTTCACTGACACATCCTAGAAATGAGTATCAAAATACCTGAAAAGAAGTACTTACAATTACATAATGAAAAGTCTCTTTTAATGTTTCGTGTTTCTCATCAAATCTCTTTGCTCTTACCACATACTCTTTCTCTAGATCCAGTTTTACATTCAGCAAATCATATAGCTTTGCTTCATTACAATGATTGCAATCCCATGAACCATCAGTTAACAGTTATGTGTGGCGCTGTGGATTAATGCGTCAGACTGCAAAGTTGTTTGAACGCAAGGTTGGTGGTTCAAGTTCACTAGCTAGCTGCTCCTTGGAAACCCTATCCAGGGTCGCTATGGGTCGGAATCGACTAGACGGCCCTTAACAACAACAACAACAAATTCACTTAGAGTCCTGCTGTGGTGCTGTGGGTTAATGTGCTAGACTGCAAAGCCATTTGAACTGCGTGGTTGGTGGTTCAAGCTCACCAGCTGCTCCTTGGAAACTCTATACAGGGTTACTAAGTGTCAGAACCGACTTGATGGCACTTCAAAACAACAACATTCACTTAAATATTACATTCTTCCCTGAGTCATCCGCTACCTCGTCTTTCCTATATCACCAGTGTTAACATGTGTCTACTCTCTAGACCATGAATAATTTTCCCTCACCTCTTCCCCAAACCATCATAGATTGTTTCTTTTACTAAGACAACCTTTTCTTTAACTTTTTACACCAAAGGAGAAGATTTGAAGCAATGGAAGCACAATTGGTAAAAGTCAATCTCTATAGAGGTATTTGGAGAGCTGGTGAGGCACTGCAGGATAATGCACTGGACCATAAGGTTGGTTTGAACTGCAAGGTTGGTGGTTCAAATCCACCAGCTGCTCCTTGGAAACCCTATACAGGGTCACTATGAATCAGAATGACTCGACCGCACTTAACAACAACATAGAGATATTACATAAATATACTTTAAATAACACAAATATTCTATTTTTATAAAGTGCAGCATTGACAAACAATCTTTTAAATAACCTGATGAAATGGCATCTATTGTTTGGGAGTAACAGCAGAGTTCATTTTGTAATCGTATACAATTCTTAGTTATAAAGTAGCTTTTAAAACAAAAATTGTATTTTAAAAAATTCCTAAATGGGATATTATGGCCCTCTTCCCAATATAGGAAAAAGCTGTGGCTGCCCAAAGAATTGGATAGTATTTAATACCAGCTGTTACTGTATTTCTTCTGAATTTAAAATTTGGAATGAGAGTGACAAGAACTAGTCTGGCATGGGAGCTCATCTGCTGGTGAGCAACACTAAGGAGGAACAGGTATTTTCTAATAAGCCATCAGGAAGCAGGAGCCCTGTCTCAGGTTTGTACATGTATTCTGTCTGAGAAGAGGATTTTATCGTTCAGGATGTTGGTGGGGTTGCAATAGGCTTTTAGGAAAGTAGATAGCCTTTACATTCTATACCTTCTTCCTGCTTTAATAAAACCATCCCCAAAGGAAATTAGGGACATTTTAAAAATGACATGTAGGAGTTAGTGGAAAGACGAGAAAATTCCAGTTTGAAATATCAGTTGGTTCTTTCAACATGTAAATATATACCAGTAACTCTTTACCAAAGAAGATATATTAAGTGGAATAGAAAAATAAAGTTGAATCTTGAGAAACACAATCAACAATGAGAAATGAAGTTAAAGCATCTCTGAAGTGATGAAATGAAAAAGGATTTAATCTGTGAACTTTTTTTTTTTTTTTTAGTGATGAAATGAAAAAGGATTTAATCTGTGAACTTTTTTTTTTTTTTTTTAGTTTTGTGCCAATTGTTTTCTTCTTACTTTTTAAAAAAGTTTTTATTGTGAATTAAGTGATAGTTTACTTGGGAGAACTCATTGCTTCATTGCAATAATTACAATTCCCTCTGTGTATCATCATTCAACAATATTTGCTTCTCTTCCCTCTGGTTTTTTTTTTTTTTTTGAGGGGTGGGGTGGAATGTGTACACAAAAACACTAAGGAATATACAAGCATTTAAACAACCAAAGGGCACATTCTGCAAGCCTGCCTCCTGGCTGCCAGCACACAGCCTTTCTCTTTTCATGAGTCTGGAGTCCTCAGCTGCTCCCTCTCTCCATGCCATCATCTCTGCCTCCATCTCTGGTGTCGCTACTTCTCTGGATAGGGTCCCACATTCCGCTTGTGCTCTTCTCTCGTGATGGTCCTAGGGTCCTCTGTTCCTGGACTGTAAGATTAACTACTCCCCACTTTTTGTTACAAAACTTCTACCTTAATAGTTGTGACAATTGCAATTAGTCAGGATAACAATTACTCACTATTGAATCTTAAGAATCTTATCCCCATTTCCTTTCACCAGACTAAACATTGTTTCATGTATAACATTGAATACCATTTCTTAGAAAAGAACAGTGGGATAATGAGTATGCGATTAGAATTCAGTGCTATTATGGTTAGAAATCTCTCCCATATCTTCCTAAGTGATGTATTTAATGTATTAAATGATGTCTTTAATGGTGCCCTGCTCAGCCACAGAAATCCTGTGATCATGGTCAGGAGCTATGTGACTTGCCCTGGTTCCTTGGTTCTTTTCTTTTCTCTATAGACCATAATAAGAAACCAGTACAGCTAAAGTACTCTAAAGTCTGTTAACCTTTTCTTCTCTCAGAAATTACTATTACAGTACCTGAAAGCAGTATGTGCTTACTAGGTGGGACTGTCAGACCCAGAAGGGAAGGATCAGTGGCAGTGTGTAGACCAGTTACCATACAACAAAAGTGTCACATGAATACAGAATCCTAAATGCTGTACCATATGGGGCCATTTCCACCACTCGGCTACTAAAACCCAACAACAAAAACTACTTGTCTCTTTTCTTTTTAAATTTAGATCTCTTTGACACTGAAGTGTGCTTTTAGCCACACTTGTATCTCTAAATAAAACAAAAAAAGCATGCCTTTTAAAATAATGATAATAAAATTTAATATTTTATTATAATTAAAGCAAAAATACTAAATTCTGATAATCTAATAACTCCTTTTTAGGTACTTTTAAAATAACTTTAAAGTATTTTAGAATACATTACCACTTTTGATCCTCATTCCAGCTGTGTAAAACACATGATTATTACTCAATCCCCACATTTTTAGATAGGAATTTGAGACTCAGCAAAATTAAATTACTTGTCAAGATTGGTTGGTTGGTTATGTGCCGTGGAGATGGTTCTGACTCATAGCAACCCTGTACAGGGTTTCCAAGGCTATAAATCTTTACGAGAGCAGAAAACCTCATCTTTCTCCCGCGGAACAGCTGGTAGTTTTAAACTGCTCACTTTGCGGTTCGCAGCCTGACACGTAACCACAGATCCAGAGACCTTAACTTGTTCTCCAGACTTCAAAAGTAGTACATAAAGAATAAATTTTTCAGGGGGAAATCTTCATCACTTAAGGAAATCCTACAGGCTTAGAGTCCTGGTGTGGCACTCGCTGCAGGATAATGTGCTAGACTGCAAGCCCAGTTTGAACCATAAGGCTGGCAGTTCAAACCCATCAGCCACTCCTCGGAAACCCTATACAGCATCACTATGGGAGGAGAACATTAAAAGTACCATGGACTGCCAAAATAACAAACCAATCTGTACTGGAATAAGTATAGCCAGAATGCTCCCTGGAAGCCAGGATGGCCAGACTTTGTCTCTCATACTTCAAACATGTTATCAGGAGGGCCCAGGCCCTGAAGAAGGAGATTGTGTTTGGAAAATGGAGGGTCAGAATAAAAGAGGAAGACCCCCAACAAGATGGACTAGCGCAATGGCAGCAGCAATACGCTCAAGCTAAGCAATGATTGTGAGGTTGGCACAGTACTGGGCAGTGTTTTGTTCTGTTGTACTTAGGGTCGCTGTGAGTTGGTGCCAACTCAATGGCACCTAACTACAATAACATCAGCATTCACTCAATAAATAGAAAGCATCTGACAGATAGAGAACATTTACATACCTGGTAGTGACATAATAGGGGAAGTATTGAATCCCATAGGACTGTGTGGCAGAGACACAGAGCACAGGCTTATAAGGTAAGAAAGAGGAGAGGAAGGACAGTATCTTTCTAGACAAAGTAATCTAGGAAAAGGAATGTGTTCAAAGTTCAAGAGATGAAAGACTGTATCTACAGGAAATGTAGCATGATATAGAGGAAAGAGTTCTATTAAGAATTTCCATGTATATCCTGAGGGCTAATAGGACCAGTGAGAGGTTGTTTAAAGCAGATTTACAAAGTGGCCTAGAGCTAGAATGGAGGCAGGCAGACAGGCCCAGGCTATGTATCATCATGGACTGCACATAGGTAGTCCTCACCTATATACTCAAAGTTAATGAGACTGCTTTTTTTTTTTAGTTTGGAAGATAGAAGACATAAATCAATTTTTAGGCCTTTCTAAAACCTCTCCAGAATGACAGAAGAAATAAAATCATATTTACAAGGACAAAGATTGTTGTTGTTGTTAAGTGTCATTGAGTCAGTACCAACTCATAGTGACCCTCCACTTTATCAAACATGATATCCTGATAATGTGTCCGAAGTATGAGAGACCAAGTCTGGCCATCCTGGCTTCCAAGGAGCAGTCTGCCTGTACATCTTCCAACACAGATTGGTTTGTTATTTTGGCAGTCCTTAGTACTTTTATTACTCTCCTTCAACACCATTACTCAAAAGTATCAATTCTTCTATGGTCTTCCTTATATACTGTCCAACTTTCACATGCATATGAGGTAATTGAAAATACCATGGCTTGCATCAGACACACCTTAGTCCTCAAACTGACATCTTTGTTCTTGAACACTTTAAAGAAGTCTTGTACAGCAGATCTGTCCAATGCAATATGTCATTTAATTTCTTCACTGCTTCTTCCATGGGTATTGATGGCTGATCCCAGCAAAATGAAGTCTTTGGCAACTTCAATCTTTTCTCCATTTATATGGATGTTGTTTATTGGTCCAGTGATGTGGATTTTTATCTGCTTTACATTGAAGTGCAAACCATATAGAAGGCTGTGGTCTTTGATCTTCATTAGTGAGTCTTTTAAGTCCTCTTCCCTTTCAGCAAGCAAGATTGTATCATCAGCAGATCCCAAATTGTTAATGAGACTTCCTTCAATCCTGAAGCCACACTTTTCTTCATATAATCCAGTTCCTTGGATTATGGGCTCATCATACAGATTGAATAAGTAAGGTAAAAGAACAACCCTGGTGCACACCTTTGCTAGTTTTAAACCATTCAGTGTTCCCTTGTTCTGTTCGGAACAAGGACAGAGAAATCAGCAGAAAGGAAACACTAGCCAAACACTGTAAACAGGAAAGCCAATAGATGACTGTTTATTGCCATGGCAATCCAGAGAAAACGAAAAGTAAGCCTGGAAGAGTGTAATGACCAGCAAAAAACCCCATCATTTTGGGCTGAAGTATTCCAGAAAACTGCTATAACCGGAGATACTAAAAATCGCAGGCTGAAAATGTCAATAGGTAAAGTAATATAATCTCTTTATATTAAGAAGTGATACAAATTTCCTTAACATGATAAAATATACCCATATTAACCCAGGAGTGCAGGGTGGTGGGTGAGAAGAGAAGAATCAGTAACAAGAATAACTAGATTTCACCAAGTTGCTCTCTATATTCCCCATCCAACCCAACTAGCACCAGCCATACTCTAGCCAATTTATTGCCTGGATTTAATTTAGGAAAAGGGTGAAGCACCAAACCAAAAAGACAGATAGTATTATTATCCAGTTTTCACAGATGTGAAAACTGAGGCACTCAATTTAAGTGATATGCTGCTTAATGTCTTATAACTAGTAAGTAGCAGAGGCCAGGGTAGAAGCCAAGCAAATTCTCTCCATGTCTATGTTCTTAACCATTACTGAATAGCTTGTTGTTATTGTTGTTGTTTCATATGGTGGTGGTGATGGTGGTGTGCCGTGGAGTCAGTTCTGACTCATTGCGACCCTGTATAGGGTTTCCGAGCTGTAATCTTCATGGGAGCAGAAAGCCTCATCTTTCTCCTATGGAACAGCTGCCCAACTCGTAACCACTACACTACCAGAATTCCTTCCTGTTTAATATGGAAAGGATAAATAATACTCAGAAGGAATGTGTCATTAAAGAACAGCAATAAATTATGGCAAAACACTTAACTATCTAGTTCCCATATCTATAAAGAAATCTGAAATGTATGAACTAAGTAAAGAGACTCCGAAGAGCAAAGGAAGAAATTAAATATGATCTTGCAAAATGGTAAAGCTGAAAAAAGTGTGGGCAGACCAAGGAGATACTATGAAATTTAGAGAAAATAAACAAAGATGAACTAGGACTCCAATGTCAGTGATTAATAGGAACTTAATAGATCATCTCAACCTCACAAATATACTCAAACTCTATTAAGCTTAACAGTACAAAGCTGAGCATCAAGTTAATTGATTCAAATCAGGAGGTTGTTAGGTGCCGTCAAGTCAACTCTGATTTATTTTAACCTTATGCACAACAAAGTGGAAGACTGTTGGTCCTGTGCATGGTCTCAGTTGTTGTGTGACAGCGCATTGTTGTGGCCACTGTGTCAATATATCTCATTGGGGGTCTTCTTTTTTCTGACCTTCTACTTTAACAAGGATACTGTCTTTCTCCAGGGACTGATCCCTCCTGGTAACATGTCCAAAGAATATGAGATGACGTCTCACTATCCTCACGTCTAAGGAGTGTTCTGACTGTACTTCTTCCAAGACACATTTGTTTGGTCTTTTGGCAGCCCATGGTACTTTAAATATTATTTGCCAAATCCGTAATTCAAATGCATCAATTATTTTCCAGTCTTCTTTATTAATTGTGCAGTTAGTTCTGATTCATAGTGACCCTGCACAGGGTTTCCAAGGCTTTTAAATCTTGGAAGCAGAAAGTCTTTCTTGGGGAGCAGAAAGTCTCATCTTTCTCCTGTGGAGCAGCTAGCGGGCTCAAACGGTGGATCTTGTGGTTCTCAGTCTGGTAGTAGTAGTTGTTGTTAAGTGCCATCAAGTCAGTTTTGACTCACATCAACCCTGTGTAGGGCTTTCAAGGAGCAGTTGGTGAGTTTGAATGGCCGACCTTGTAGTTCAAACCAACCTTTTGGTCCAGTGCTTTATCCCACAGTGCCACACCAGATAGAGAATCCTAAAGCTGGGGTATTGGCTAATGACCACTTTAATATCAATGTGGCCTTTTTGCCATCCCCTAAAAACTGAAATGGGTATTGGAAAAGAAAGCCAGAATGCTCTTTAGAAGCCAAGATGGCCAGACTTCGTCTCTCATACTTTGGACATATTGTCAGGAGGGCCCAGACCCTGGAGAAGGACATCATACTTGGTAAAGTGGAGGGTTAGTGATAAAGAAGAGGACCCCTGATGAGATGGATTGACACAGTGGCAGCAGCAATGTTCTCAAGCATAGCAGCAGTTATGAGATTGGCTCAGGACCCAGCAGTGTTTCATACTGTAGTGCATAAAATCACTATGCATCAGTACCTACTCAAAGGCACCTAACAACAACAAAAACTGAAAGGGTCAGGCTCTGAAGCTTTTAGGTACTTAGATATTGTCCAGCAAGGAAAAGGAGTCTGGATGTGGCACTGTAGGTTAATGCGCTGGACTGCAAGTTCGATTTGAACCACAGGGTAGGTGGTTCAAGTTCACCAGCTGCTCCTCAGAAACCCTATACAGGGTTGCTATGAGTTGGAAGGAACCAAGTCAATGGCACTTAACAACACAACA